GCAGTAGTTCGGGAGCCAGCCTTCAGTTCACCGAGACATCGAGGTAGCCTTGCAGGCGTCCGCAGGCGTCTCCTCTATCCCTTGTTATGTTCTTTTATCACTTGTATTCGAGACAGACAATATTACTTTCTTTCAAACAGTTGTATGTAGTAAATCTTAGTAGTCCGTGAGTGTTGTGACACCAGTTCTTGGGTAGAGGCATATATTGATTTCCGTATTATTGTTTGGCTTATTTATTCTAAGTCTTCCGCTTTAATTTCATATTCCGTTGTTATTTAAATATTTATCTCTTGTTGTTATGATTTATAAAAGCATTAAAATAAAAGAGTGAAGAGTTTAAAAATTTCGTGGCTTGCCTAGCTTTTACGAGTAGGCGCCATCACGACTCCCGAGGGTGGAAAATCCGGGTCGTGACAAGTTGGTATCAGAGCTCTAGGTTACATAGGTCTCATAATTCACGAACAAGCTTAGTAGAGTCTGAGGGATCGGTACGGGACGTCTGTATTTATCCCCAGAGGCTACAGAGTTAGGAAAAATTTCACATTTGTTCTTTCTTGTCGTGCGGTTTGGTTTCTCAATCCTACTTGAATTTCTACTATGTTCTTTCGCAGATGGCAAGAACACGCGCTTCCTCATCTATCGATCAGCAGTCCAAGCCCCCAGCAGCTCCCACGAGGGGTAGAGGGCGAGGCCGAGACCGATCTAGAGGCTGAGGCAGGGGCAGAGCTCAGCCCAGGGCAGCAGCACCCGTAGCGGAGCCTCAGGTTGATTTTGAAGACGAGGTTCCAGCCCCAGCCGTTTCGGTGGGCCCAGCTCAGGTCCCATAGGGGTTTATTGCCACCCTAGTTCTTCAGGATGCTCTGGTCCGTCTAGTGGGCCTTATGGAGAGTGTTACCAGGGTAGGTTTACTTCCTATAGCACCAGCCGTCTCTCAGGCTGGAGGATGAGCCCAGACTCCTGCTACTCGCACTCCGGAGCAGGTAGCTCCCCAGATTCAGACTCCAGCAGTTCAGCCAGTTGGTCAGCTCAGCCACGTGTGGTAGCCCAGGCCAGTGATGGAGCAGCTATGTCTGCCGATGCTTTGTGGAGATTGGACAGGTTCACCAAGCTCTTCACTACTACCTTCAGCGGTGTATCTACTGAGGATCCCTAGGATTATCCGGACAGCTGCCACGAGGTTCTTTGGAACATGGGGATTGTTGAGACCAATGGGGTTGATTTTGTTACATTTCGCTTGTCTGGATCCGCCAAGACTTGGTGGAGGGATTATTGCTTAGCTAGACCAGCAGGATCACCAGCCTTGACCTAGGAACAGTTCACGCAGCTATTTCTGGAGAAGTTTCTCCCTATCATATAGCGAGAGGCCTATCGGAGGCAGTTCGAGTGTCTCCAACAGGGATCCATGACAGTCATCCAATACGAGACCACATTCATTAATTTGGCTCGCCATGCTCTTATTATACTTCCCACTAAGAGGGAGAGAGTGAGACGGTTCATTGATGGACTCATCCCGCCGATTCGTCTTCAGATGGCCAGAGAGGCTGGGAGTGAGATATCCTTCCAGGAGGCGGCCAATGTGGCCCGGAGAGTTGAGATGGTATTATCACAGGGGGGTGGTCATAGGGCAGACAAGAGACCCCGTCAGTCAGGCAGATTCAGTGGTGCCTCGTCTGGAGGCAGGGATTCCTATGATAGAGGTCATCCCCCTAGGCCCTTTCAGTCAGCACTCCAGGTTTCTCACGGTGCTTCAGGTGGCCGTGGTTCTCACACGCACTATTCTGATCAGCAGCCCTACAGTGTACCGCCAGCTCCTATCACTGCACCGCCGCTTCAGAGTTTCCGAGGTGGTCATTCAGGTCGACCTGGTCAGCAGTCTCAGCAGCCGAGGGCTTGTTACACTTGTGGTGGTACGGGTCAAATTGCTAGATTTTGCCCTTGAGCACCGAGTAGCTCTCAGCATCAGGGTTCCCATGCCATGGTTCAGGCACCAGGTGTTCCACAGCCCGCCCAGCCAGCTAGAGGTGGGGGTAGAGGTGCTAGAGGTGGAGGTAGAGGTACTAGAGGTGGAGCTCAGGTCGTTAGAGGTGGAGGCCAGCCAGCAGCAGACCGACCCAGAGATGTGGTTCAGGGTGGTGGGGCCCAGCCCCGATGTTATGCTCTTCAGGCCAGGCCCGAGGCTGAGGCTTCGGATGCACTTATTACAGGTACGGTTCTGGTTTGTGATAGAGATGCTTCAGTGTTATTTGATCCGGGGTCGACGTATTCGTATGTGTCATCTTATTTTTCCCCGTACCTGGTCATGCCTAGTGATGCATTGAGTGTTCCTGTTTATGTGTCTACACCGGTGGGTGATTCTATTATGGTCGATCGAGTCCATCGTTCTTGTATTGTGGTTATTGGGGGTCTTGAGACTCGTGTAGATTTGTTGCTGTTAGACATGGTTGACTTCGATGTTATATTGGGGATGAACTGGTTATCACCTTACCACGGTATCTTGGACTGTCATGCCAAGACTGTGACCCTAGCTTTACCGGGTATGCCTCGATTAGAGTGGAGAGGGACTCCTGGTCATTCTACCCGTAGTGTTATCTCTTATGTGAAGGCTCAACGTATGGTCGAGAAAGGGTGTTTGGCCTGTTTGGCGTATGTTCGTAATTCTAGTGCTGAGGTTTCCTCTATTGATTCTGTGCCCGTTGTTCGTGAGTTCCCTGAGGTATTTCCTTCATGTTGACTTTTGCATTGATCTGGTACCGGGCACTCAGCCCATTTCCATCCCGCCGTATCGTATGGCGCCGCCTGAGTTGAAAGAGTTAAAGGAGCAGTTGTAAGACCTGCTTGAGAAGGGTTTCATTAGACCTAGTGTTTCGCCTTGGGGTGCGCTGGTGTTATTTGTTAAGAAGAAGGATGGGTCAATGAGAATGTGTATTGATTACCGGCAATTGAACAAGGTTACAGTCAAGAATAAGTATCCGCTGCTGAGGATTGATGATTTGTTCGATCAGCTTCAGGGTGCCAAGGTATTTTCAAAGATTGACTTGCGATCTGGCTACCATCAGTTGAGGATTAGTAATTTCACTTGTATTCGAGACAGACAATATTACTTTCTTTCAAACAGTTGTGTGTAGTAAATCTTAGTAGTCCGTAAGTGTTGTGACACCAGTTCTTGGGTAGAGGCATATATTGATCCCGTATTATTGTTTGGCTTATTTAGTCTAAGTCTTCCGCTTTAATTTCATATTCCGCTGTTATTTAAATATTTATCGCTTGTTGTTATGATTTATAAAAGGATTAAAATAAAAGAGTTAAGAGTTTAAAATTTCGTGGCTTGCCTAGCTTCTACGAGTAGGCGCCATCACGACTCCCGAGGGTGGAAAATTCGGGTCGTGACAATTTGCGAGCCAAGCTTCGCGTTTGCGAAGCCTGCAGGCCTGATCATACCAGCAAAATTTTCTGCAATTTTCTAAGTCCTAAATGCAACCCGTGGCCTATCCAAAACTCACCCGAGCCCTCGGGGCTCCAAACCAAATATACACACAACCTCAAAAATATCCTACGGACTTATTCGTGCGATCAAATCGCCAAAATAACCTCAATAACAACGGATCAAACCTCAAAACCAAGAACTTTTCTCAAACTTCATCAATTATCAAATTTAGCAATTTAGGTCCGAATCACATCAAATGATATCCATTTTCAACCAAATTTCACAGAAACATCTTAAATCATATATAAGACCTGTGCCGGGCGCCGGAACCAAAATACGGGCCCGATACCATCAGGTTCTAATCAAATTTCATTTTAAATTTCCTTAAACAATTTCAGAAAATAATTTCTTTCAAAAATTCATTTCTCGGTGGGACCTCGGAATTCGATTCCGGGCATACGCCCAAGTCCCATATTTTCCTACGGACCCTCCGGGACCGTCAAATCACGGGTCCGGGTCCGTTTATCCAAAACGTTGACCAAAGTTAAATTAATTCATTTTATAGTCCAAACTTATTATTTTTCACACATTTTTATAACTAAGCTTTCCGGCTACGCGCCCAGACTGTGCACGCAAATCGAGGTAACTCTAAATAAGGTTATCAAGGCCTCGAAAATACAGAATTTAATTTAAAAACAAGTGATGACCTTTTGGGTCATCACAACACCAGGGGAGAGAGAGAGAAATCAACGAGGGAGGGGGTTAGGGGATTAATGTTTGAATTTTATTTTTTGATTTTTTTATTTTAATTATTTTTAATCTACCATGTGACATGGCATCTACACATTGTTATTTTTTGACGTGGCAGCTAACGTGGAAGAGATTGTATTACACGCACTGTAGCCTCTTGTCATAAGCGTTTATTATACACAATTTGAAGGAGTGTAAGTGTTCAATTGGCAAATTATTAAATTGGGGACCGGCATAACAAAGTGGTACAAGTATAGGTGCCATTTAGGCTATTCTGCTATTCTAGTAATTTAGTAGCTTTGATTTTGCTTGTCCTATGGTTTGTGGATGATTTGGTGTTATTTATAATTTTACATTATGTTTTTTAAGAATTGCGCTTCACTTTAATAAAGCGTGTGCTTCGCTTTTGAAGCGAGGCAAGCCCTTGTCGCTTTTTTGCGCTTCGCGCTCTCAAAACACTGTATTAAGTAAAGCTTGATAAGAGTTGGGCGAGTTGGGCTATGACCCAAATTTTAGCTCATCTTGAACCATCACATCTTAGCTCAAGTAACTTTTGGGCACCCGCCAATTATTGACTCAATCTGACTCGCCCATAATCGATCCAACCCGCCCATTTGACACCCCTAGACTATCAACCTTTCAACACGGATGGAAGGAGAAATTATATCCAAAGTAGGAATGAATCAGGACAGAAAATGCAAACATTAACATTTTGCAGTATGGTTGAAACATAAATACACTCATAAGCCAAATACTTCACAGAAAAAGTAAATATAGTTGCAGAGGAAAAAGAAGTACTAAGGAAAAGAAAGTTTAAACTAAATACCTCTAACCGATCCAGTAGATTCTCAGCCACAGTATCAACAAGAGAATCCTTGGGCTTCATCAACCACGCTGCTCTATCACGCTGCCAACCATGAAACTCAAATTAAAAATGCATAGTATAAACGGAAAAGTGAAACTGATATTTTTCTTAAAGAAATGATTCTTCTATACAAATAAATTGGTTTATGGTTGAATCGAGGTAAATGAAATTACTTGCACACGCTTAAGATGACGATCAAATATTTTGAGTTTGGAGCTCTGAAAGCCATCTCCGGCGTCAGTACAGTAGGATCTTAGGCCTTTCCAACAAAGAGCTATGCTTCTTCTCATTGTGAATTAGGTTTAGCAACAGAAAGTAGGGTTATTTATGGGCTAACCGAAACTCCAATCTCTTCCCGAGTGTACCTTGCACCTTTTATACCTGTTATTTTAACACATAGTCGTGTGTTTTTAAACTTCACCCTGATAGGAAATTTCACACAAATCATGCCCATAAATAACCAAAATGTCCCTACCTCCAAATCCTTATTGCCAGCTGTAGTTATCCAGCGAGCAGTTCCGATTATCGCTTCCGATTATCGCTGGAAGCTACGTAAATCTAACGTTATCAAGGCGTCGACGCCGGTGGTCAACGGGGGCTCTTTTCAGTGCCGGCTATAGTTATCCGGCGAGCAGTTCCAATGATCGCCGCCTTTAGGCAATTTTGGGGGCCATTTTTACTAGGAGTAGTAGGTTTGTAAATTAAATTTATCAAAAATTTGAGTATTTTAAAATAAAATTTAAGAAAATAACAAAAAAGGAATAGATTGGAATATATTATTTTTAATTTTCTATTTGGTGATAAATATACGAGATCACTAGGCAACGAGAATCTAAAAGATATTGCATTAACCTCGAAAGTTTCTTAAAAGCTAAAAGTCACGCGATATTGATGTTTTATACTTATTTTATGAATTAAAAGTGTAAGTTAAATAACACGAGTAGAAGATAATATGTTGATCAATATACTTAATCAAATAAAAAGACTTGATTTTTCTTTTTTTCAAATATCAATATCGCTTATAGAATATGTGAATAATTTGTTTCTGCAAAATAAAGTATTTCTAACCCGAAATTGAAAAATCTTACTTAAGACCAATAATGTGTGTGTGTGTGTATATATATATATATAGAGAGAGAGAGAGAGAGTTAGGCGAAATACATAGTTTACCCATCCAACTTACGACCAAATCCTTGTTACACACCTGTTGACCACGGGTTTCATTTTACACACCAAACCTTTCAAAAGTGTGTCAATTACATANTTAACGTAACTAACTAATGTGTGTGTGTGTGTGTGTGTGTGTGTGTGTGTATATATATATATATATATATATATATATATATTAGAGTAATTATAAAAGTTATTAATAACTATGCATCTTAATAAGTTAGGAAAGTCGGCTTCAAATAAAAATATATATAAGATTTCAAAAAAAGTATTTATGACCTCTTTATGCCCCCAACTTTGTCGACCCTGGCTCTTCCAAGTGAATGAGGTGGGGTCGGCCGTTCATGCGGATGATCTTAATGAAGATTTTGCTCAACAAAGTGATACGACATCAATTTGTACTAGTAACTTAACTTTATTTGTGTTTGGTAGAAGTTAAGTATCTTTTAAATTTCGCCGTAGAAAAGATATTAGAAAGAACTCTACATTTGATTATTTTTTAGTAATTAGATTACTGAAATAGTAAGCTTATTCTTCCTATCTATTTGTTGGAAACGACGTGCTTGTTACGTGTTTGATTGTCAAGACCTAAGGTTGTCGGCTGAAGAGTTAAGGGAAATGAAATGAATAAGGAAAGTAGGGTTAGGGATAAAAGAATAAGAGGGGTGACGTGGTAGCATGAGGCCATGAACAACTTCATTTCAGGTATCATGACTTGTACGTGTGGTCGGAATTGAATTTCGGGAAGTTCGGAGTTGATTTGGGAAAGAGAATTCTCATTTCGGAAGCTTTAAGTTGAAAGAATTAGCTAAGATTGGATTTTTGAGTAAACGACCTCGGAATCTGGATTCGAAGGTTCCAGCAGGTTCGTATGATGATTTCGGACTTGGGCATATGTCCGGGTCGGGTTTTGGATGACCCAGGAGCATTTTGGCGCCTATTGCGGAAGTAGCATTTTGGAAGAAATTTCATAAGTTTGGGTTGAAGTGCATTTCAGTGTTATCGATGTCCGTTTGAGATTCCCAGTCTGGGAGTAGCTCCGTATGGTGATTCTGGAGTTGGGAGCGTGATCGGAAGTGAATTCGGAGGTCCGTGGAGCATTTTGGAGCCATTTGGCTAAAGATAGAAATTTAAAGGTTTTGAGAAGTTTGACCGGAAGTGGACTTTTTGATATCGGGGTCGGAATCCAATTCCAAAAGTTGGAGTAGGTCCGTAATGTCAAATATGACTTGTGTGCAAAATTTGAGGTCAATCGGACGTGATTTGATAGGTTTAAACATCAAAAGTAGTTTGAAATTCTAAAGTTCATAAAGCTTAGATTGGAGGTTGATTCGTGGTTTTAGCGTTGTTTGATATGATTTGAGGCCTCGAACAAGTCCGTATACCTGAAATNCATCAGGAGCATCCATAGTCACTTAAGATATGTGGCTCACACTATAAATTCTAATAAGATCTAAGAGTGGAGATTAAGTGGAGGATATTCTAGAAGACTATTAGTAAGGAAAGGCTCAACAGAATAAGTTATGCCAATTATCAGATTTAACTACTCTTCTCTCTCTATACTCTCTCTCTTTGATTCTTTTTCTTCTTCCTCTTCTCACCTAAATTCTTCTTCATCTTCTACAGAACTCCATTGTAGTTTGTAATAGTGTAGCCATGGCAATTACAATGTATTGTACTTAGATACATTTGAGCTAATAAATCGGATTTGACTTCTGCTAATTATCTCATTTACAATTTCATTTTTGAATTTTATTACAAATCATTACAATTTGTATCAGAGCTCTTTCGTGGCCTTAAGAAAATGACAATTACAGACTCTGTTTTAAAAGGCAGAATTGGAACTCGCCCGGGACTCACCCCGGGGCGGAGCACTCGTAAAACGCCCCTGGGCTTATGTGTGGGGCTTAGTTCCGTGAGACTTACGCCTCGGCCATTGGGGCTTATGCCCCGGACACGCCCAACGCCCAGCGTACTGGGCTCGCCTAATAGAACTTTATGCAATTGTATGTAACTAACCTTGTAAATCTACAAATTTTCTTAATAAATCGTTGACTACTCAACATTACTTTTTTCCTAAGTATAAATTATTAAGTTGGGAGTATTGTCATAATTAAAATAAAAATTATTGCACGTTATCCACTAATACTGCTATGATAGTTAATTTTAAATAAATCTTTCATTTAAAAAATATTTATTTATTAACTATTGTATGTCTTTACTATATAATAGTCCATAATTTTTTTATCATTATTTTTCTAATTATTTTTTTTCACGTTTACGAGATACAATACTTATTAATTTAATAGCTCAATATTAGCTAGTAACTTGTACAAATAATTAGTTATCATGGTATTGTATGGTGAATTATGTGTCACTTTATTAACTTGTTGAAACTTAAAAATGAATGATGCTTGAGAATCATATTTAAATTGTGAATTATATTTTTATATAAATTCTCTTTCAAATAGAAAGCATATTAAATAAAAGGAGTATTTTAAGAAAAATATCAAATTATAATATCGAAATTCTTTCAAGATTCATTACTTCTTAAGAGATACATATAAGATTTCGTATGGAATACATTACTTTTGATGTTTGAGTTGTAACAACATTGCAACTATTTGCATATTATGATATATGTCATACTTTTCATATTATTCATAGTTAAATTATAATTTATTAATATTTTAAATATATTATTTGTATAATTTTGTGATTTTAATGTAATTTTTATAATTATTTTTATTTTATAAATTCTTGAAATTAGTAAAATTTAAAGATTCGTGGGACTTACGCCTCATGTCTCAGTGCTTACGCCTCGCCTCGTCAGAGATAAAACGCCTCGCCTCACGACCCCGCCTTTTAAAACATTGATTACAGAGACTAGATCAAAATCTACTGAAGAAAGCATCAAAAGAGTGGAGAATCAATTGCAGGAGCACATGTCCTCGACGAACCAGAAGTTCGAGGACTTGAGCAGCAAACTGGATCTGTTAATGGAGAAACTCCTTCCTGCTCACGAATGGAATCTTGGGGAGTGCTCCAAGAGAAGGATTGCAACTAGAAAACTCAAGAGCTCGGCATAAGCATGGTGATTCAGTAGAGTCTTCGCATGGAAGGGGTCAATTCAATCATAGATTCGAATTCCCTTACTTCGATGGAGTTCATGGCTGCGAAGGTTTGAGTGATATTTCCAATACAATCAGGTGTTGGATCCTCAGCAAAAACTCGAAGCTGCAGTTCTTCACTTAGTTGGCAAGGCTGAGGCTTGGTTCTTCTCATACTAGGTAAGCCATGGATCTATCTCTTGGAAAGATTTCTGAGAAGAAATTTGCAGAAGATTTGTAGAAGCAGATAACAGTAAGTTCAACTTAATTGGTGAGTTCAAAAAATTAGAACAAAAAGGCACAGTTAATGAATATCTGGAAAAGTTTGAAGAACTTAAGGGTTGAGGCCATGTGCATTGAGTCAGCCTGGGGCTCGGACTGCTGATCAGAAGATGAGGAAGCGCGTGTTCTCGCCATCTGCGAAAGAACAGAGTAGAAGTTCAATTAGCGTTGAGAAACCAAACCGCACGACAAGAAAGAACAAATGTGAAACTTTTCCTAACTCGGTAGCCTCTAGGGGATAAATACAGACGTCTCTGTACTGATCCCTCAGACTCTACTAAGCTTGTCCGTGAATTGTGAGACCTATGTAACCTAGAGCTCTGATACCAACTTGTCACGACCCGGATTTCCCACCCTCGGGGGTTGTGATGGCGCCTACTCGTAGAAGCTAGGCAAGCCACAAATCATAAACTCCTAACTCTTTCATTTTAAATTCTTTTTACCAATCATATCAACAAGCGTTAAATATTAGAATAATAGCGGAAATATAAAATTAAAGCGAAATACTTAAATTAAATAAACTGAACAATAATGCGGAAATCATCATATGCCTTTACCCAAGAACTGGTGTCACAACATCCACGGACTACTAAGAGTACTAAATACAACAGTTTGAAGGAAAAATAGCACTGCTTGTCTCGAAACATGAGATAACAGAATGAAATGTAAGATAGAGGAGACGCTGGGCATGCGGACGCCTGCAAGGCTACCTCGGTGTCTCGGTGGACTGAAGGAAGACTCCCGAACTACTGCTGTTGTCCGGTACCTGGATCTGTGCAAAAGAGCACATAATGTAGTATCAGCACAACCGACCCCATGTGCTGGTAAGTGCCTAGCCTAACCCCGGCAAAGTAGTGACGAGGCTAGACAGGACTACCACATAAACTTGTGCTATATATATATATATATATATATATATATATATATATATATATATATATATATATATATATATATATATATATATATATATATCGGGAAAATAACAAGAATAAACATTTTAAATGGGAGGGGAACATGCTTCGGGGATAGCAGATAATACAGAATTTCAAGAGAATAATAAGGAACATCAATAAATTAACTCTAACACGGATAAGGGAAATAAAAGCAGATTTCACTGTCAGTACACATCTCGTTACACGCG